TTCTGTCCCTGGTTCCGGCATCCTCAGTGTGGGCACCCAGCTGTGACAGCTTGCGGCTTCACAGCCGGGTGCCCACTGTGTGCTGCTCTTTTTGAATGGCCCTGTAGTCTTCTGGGACCTGTCACATCGCCTAGGCGATCGCAGCGGAAGTGGGAGCTGTCACGATCGCGGCGTCAGACCCCAGCTCTTCTAAGCAAACTCATGACCGAAGGACTAGCCGATCTAAAACCGCAATGCCCACACCCAGCTGCACCCTGCACAACGATTTTCCAGCTAATTGGACCACAATCAATGTACCGGCAGCCTGAGCGATTGTTACTGGGTCAGGTTAATTACGCAATTAACCCTTCACACTGCCACCACCTCCATTTTGTACAGAGAAAGAGAAAACTCAGCGATATCAGTTATAACACTAAAATGGTTTAGTTAATCGTCTGTATAACACAGTTATACAGAGGGTTAAACAAACACAAACTCTTTAGAGGTAGAAATTCGTAAATTGCAATAAAGCGCTATAGAAACAGTTCAACACTTTCAGAAAGAAAGATTTATTACTGAAAGGTCAAACGGGTGCAATAAAAATATTTACAGAAAAGATGTAACTAAGATATATATATGTAAACATACAGAGACCAACAGCACAGCAAAGAGAGATATCAGAGAGAGGTGAAAGGGTTAAAGTACTTGCCAAAGTCCTGGGTTAGCAAATCCAAGTTTCAGAGCAAAAGGGCATGAGTCTCCCCAGGTGGTATTGATGTTAAAATGGGAGACGTCTTCAACTCCCTCTTCTTAGGCCTGACAGCCTAATTTGTAGCTCCCCAGCAGGGGGTGTCTCTGAAGTCAAGGACCAATACCCCGTTTAGGGCTTGGATCGTCAGGCGGAGCCCTAAACTAGAGCCAAAAATCTTTCCTAACTCATATTTTGGCTCATAAATTTCCATATGCATAAGTGACACTCCACCCGCAGGTAGATTATTATGCAGAGACGTCTGAGGATTGATTAGATATGAATTATGAAATTCTACACTGAATGGTTCACGAGATCTATTTTTCTGCTTTCCTATGTATTCGAGACAAGACGAGTGACCTATCAAACTGTTCGGCTCTTCTTAGCCAATCTGACGATATGTCTGGTTTTTATGTAAGTCTCTCATATTCCAAGATATGAGACAGGGGAAAAATGGATCTTTTAAAAAAAGTGTTAGCTGGTCCCACCTTCCTTGGAATGTCTTGAACTCCAGGAAAGCATGCTTTATCTTATACGAGGTGTTACATTTTACAGGTTCTTAGGACAGCTAGGCCCCAGCTCCCTTTGGGATTTTATAGCTCCTAGCCCCCTGCTGGGCCCTGGCCTCCTGTGACACTCCTACACACATACACACTGGCCAAATGTCACTGGGACTCTCAGAAAGGGAGGGGGAGAATGAGGGGGAAATATGTTTGTCAGGATGGTTAACCCCTTTGCCAAGATGTAGGTTCTTAACAAAATGGAGGACTGCGTCAGTCTCTGGGTATACGCTGTTACAGGAGCAGGTACCTGTCAAATTTGGGTACCTGTTCCCTCCCCCTCCCCCGCTCCCCAAAGGTGCCAATCCTTAATTGGGAGCGGGGGTGGAGCTCCGCTTTAATACTTAAGCCAGGGTTTACACCAATGCGGTGCAGGAAACACTGCGAATCGTGTGCGTTTCCCGAACCTCAAATTATGTAAAGAAAACAAAACCTCAGCGCTCAGGACTTCCTATTTACCACACAAATCCCCGTGGGATGCTGCTGTGCACAGGTACAAAAGACCAAAAAACTTTTAACAATGAAAACCAGCGCAAACCCACATGGTCAATTACATTACTCAGCTTTAAAAAAACATTACTGTGCTGATAAAGATATATATAATAAATTATATATAAATAAATTGATATATAAAAAAATATATAAACATTAGAATCATAAGTCCAGTGACAAAAAAATCAAGTGACAAAAAATCAAAAAAAATCCCAAAAAAATATATATATATAATTACAGTCCCGTGACAAAAATAAAACAAATTAAATTATAATTTTCATTTGGTTCTTCCGTGTTACTGATCCCTTCACCATGCACCAGTGCAAAAATCAACATTAGCCGCACTCACCAGATATTGGTGAGTCACACGCCTTTCAGGATTATTAAGGGCTCCTGGACCCCCTTTACTTTGTGAGACCTCCAAGTGCTGTTTCCTCTTATGTCTAGGTACCTCTTCTGCTTACTCCTCTCACCGAATCCCCCAAGGAAAATCAGGAAGAAGAAAAGACCATAGCGTGATACCGTAGTAATTTCTCCTCAAAATAATCTCTCCAGACCACTCACATTCTTTTGCGGGATATAGCCCGCCTTTTATTCAAAACAACAGTGATTTTCTTCCAAAATGATCCACTTTTCATGTACACCGATTTTTGTAAGAGACCCCCACAGTTTAGTGTGCAGCAGGATGGCAGACCTCAGCTACAGACTCATCTACTAAGCTAAGATGGCCCCTTGGAACGCACCGCTCGGCGTGCGCTCCACTCACCGGAAATGACGTCAGACGACGGACCAGGCAACCGGAAGTGCGTCAACGCGTTTCGCCCCACCCACAGGGCGTTATCAAGACGCTCATTACCACTTCCAAGCGGTTGGAAGTGGTAATGAGCGTCTTGATAACGCCCTGGTGGGTGGGGCGAAACGCGTTGACGCACTTCCGGTTGCCTGGTCCGTCGTCTGATGTCATTTCCGGTGAGTGGAGCGCACGCCGAGCGGTGCGTTCCAAGGGGCCATCTTAGCTTAGTAGATGAGTCTGTAGCTGAGGTCTGCCATCCTGCTGCACACTAAACTGTGGGGTCTCTTACAAAAATCGGTGTACATGAAAAGTGGATCATTTTGGAAGAAAATCACTGTTGTTTTGAATAAAAGGCGGGCTATATCCCGCAAAAGAATGTGAGTGGTCTGGAGAGATTATTTTGAGGAGAAATTACTACGGTATCACGCTATGGTCTTTTCTTCTTCCTGATTTTCCTTGGGGGATTCGGTGAGAGGAGTAAGCAGAAGAGGTACCTAGACATAAGAGGAAACAGCACTTGGAGGTCTCACAAAAAGTAAAGGGGGTCCAGGAGCCCTTAATAATCCTGAAAGGCGTGTACTGTGACTCACCAATATCTGGTGAGTGCGGCTAATGTTGATTTTTGCACTGGTGCATGGTGAAGGGATCAGTAACACGGAAGAACCAAATGAAAATTATAATTTAATTTGTTTTATTTTTGTCACGGGACTGTAATTATATATATATATTTTTTGGGATTTTTTTGATTTTTTTGTCACTTGATTTTTTTGTCACTGGACTTATGATTCTAATGTTTATATATTTTTTTATATATCAATTTATTTATATATAATTTATTATATATATCTTTATCAGCACAGTAATGTTTTTTTAAAGCTGAGTAATGTAATTGACCATGTGGGTTTGCGCTGGTTTTCATTGTTAAAAGTTTCCCGAACCTCATTGCAATCGCATCACGTTCATGCGATCTGGTGTGGGTGTCAATGATAAATTAATGACACCCTGAAACAGATCGCAAAATGCAATGCGATTGCTAGAAATTTCATCGCATCGGTGAGAACACCCATGCGATGCAATTCAAATGCAGATTTAAGAAAGGGTCCTGTACTTTTTTGGTGCGGATGCGATCTGAGCCATTCAAAATATATGGCTCAAATCGTACCGCACAGACATTTGCATGTAATCCGCACAGGAATGTAGTGCACACTGCATAGTGTGAACCTGGGCTCAATCAGAAAAAATACCGCATTTTGCCAATAAATGAAGTTGACAATTATAGGAAATAATCATGTTAGAGAAACTACGGGGACAATTCCTGCAGGCTGGGTGAATGCCTGTGACATTTGTCCAACAAATGTTTTATATATAAACCCCAAGTGTATATACCAATCAGCAGAAAAGGGGAATGTCCCCACCAGGGGCGGACTGACAACTCATGGGGCCCCCGGGCAATAGGGGATCATGGGGCCCCTGTGTCCTTGCCCAAACTCAAAAAAGCCTATGAAAAAGGTGCCAGGGGCATCTCATGGGGCCCCCTACTGACCCCGGGCCCTCGGGCAGTGCCCGAGTTTCCAAATGGTCAGTCCGCCCCTTGTCCCCACTGACCAACTAGAGGCCACTCCATACTTGAAAAATACCTACATCTACAATGTATTACCCTAGGTTCACACCTAAGCAATTTCTGCAGCATTTTGCAGAAAAGCAGTACATTCCATTTAATATGATTTCCTATGGGACATGTTCACATCTGAGCGTTTTCACTGGGTGTGTTTTTTGGAAAGGATCAGGGACTTTTTTGAATGTAAAAAGTTGCGTTTTTGGTTTATAGACTTCAATGGAAATGCTGCAGAAAAGCATGTATTGTGTTTTTGCTACATTTTTGATGCATTTTTGCCATGTTTTTTATGCATTTTTGTTGCGTTTAGCATTTTGCGTTTTAAATCCGCCTAGCAATAAGAAAAATTTAAAAAAAATGCAAAACGCATCATAAATGCAGTAAAAACGCAAGTGCAAAATCGCAACACAAAACGCAATGCAGAAACGGCTCAAACGCAACCTGCATAGGTGTGAACCCAGCCTTAAACAAGACATTTGTCTGTTTGCTGTGGGCTTCTATTAAACTTGAATAAAAGAGCTACTTAAGACCTGAGCGTGGATGATGATTTTGTTGTATAGATTGAATATAACCCCTTGAATGCCAAAAAGGGTGGTGATCTTGGTACTGATTTGTAAAGGTGTATCCTGCCATTTGTGGAACAGGAATGTCTGCAATTTACCGGCATCAAGTTAAAAGGTGCTACTTGAACTTGATTTTTTAAATAAGGCATCAGAAATATTTGCTGAAGGAGGAACCACAAAAGAAATGTAGAGTAGGATGTTGGTTGGTTTAGGTCACATTCTATAACTGCTTTTGATATATTTCTTTGTTATAGCTTTGAAGGTTTCTGTGCGGGAGGTGAAGAAGGAGAACGGAGACCGGAAGCTGATTCTGAAGAAGAAGAAGGCACTGAATAAGGGTCCCATCCAGAGGAAGGAGTGGGGGGACTTGGTCCTTTACCTGAAGAATGGAGCTAACTGTCCATGTCCCCAGCTGGAGCAACTGAATGGCCATTTTCTGGTACTGGGGCGGAAGGTGAAAAATCAGCACATTCTTACTGCAATCCACAAGTGGAACAAGGCTAACCGCGAGTTTAACCGTTTTATGCGCAAAGTGAAGAAGACCAAGTGCCCAAAGCCACACTCAGTGTTCATGTGAGACTGTTTTCTCATTTAAAGACATAGCACACTCTCCCCCATCACACGCTGTTTCTGCTACTGGAGCTGGGACTCTGAAGCAGATCGAAGTACTGAGATGGTGTCGAGGGGGACATCAGCTTCACCCCTACCCTATATGTCCCACAGACAAAAGAAAAGGGACACCTTCTGAGACATTGAGACTAAAAAGCAGAGAAACGTATGTCACTCACTTGTAGAAACCAGATCAACAAACAAACTAGTAGCCTGGGAGCTCTTAAAGGGTCAGTTCATCTAAAACTAAAATTTCAACATTGGGTAGATACCAGCAGATGTGATTACCTTCTTTACTTTGTATATCTCATGAAGATCCTGGTGCAGGGGCAGACTGACTACTCATGGGGCCCCCGGGCAATAGGGGATCATGGGGCCCCTGTGTCCTTGCCCAAACTCAAAAAAGCCTATGAAAAAGGTACCAGGGGCATCTCATGTGGCTACCTACTGACCCCGAGCCCTTGGGCAGTGCCCAAGTTTCCAAATGGTCAGTCCGCCCCTGTCCTGGTGGTAAGATCTCAACAAATGGGTCCTGCCCACTTTCCATGGCCACTATGAAAGTGTCTCATTCTTATTAGATATTTTATATAGTTTTTATTGTGTAACTCCAGCAGGAAGTTCTCACAGCTCGAGCCCATGAAAGATTTAAGAAGGAATTAAGTGATTAAAAATGAGTTTTGGGTGGACTGGCCCTAAGAATACTCCTGGTAACTTGGGTTCCATTCAATTAATTATTTTACGCCTTTAATTCAAAACGCAGATAATGTATTTTAATTAATGCAACAGCAGTGATGTGGCTGTGATTGCACAGAATGTGTTTCATACATTCATTTATTAAAGAAATGTTTTGGAATAAATATTGTGCATTATATCTTGTTGCTTGTACCATCCTACTCTTCCCCAGTTAGGTAGTAAAAAGCCCATATGGGCCAAGCCTTTAAAAAGTATTCATACCCCTTGACATTTTCCCCATTTTGTCATGTTACAACCAAAAACGTAAATGTATTTTATTGGGATTTTATGTGATAGACCAACACAAAGGGGCACATAATTTGTGAAGTGGAAGGAATATTATAAATGGTTTTCAAACTTTTTACAAATAAATATCTGAAAAGTGTGATGTGCATTTGTATTCAGCCCCCTGTACTCTGATACCCCTGACTAAAATCTAGTGGAACCAATTGCCTTCTGAAGTCAATTGCCTTCTGAAGTCTAGTAAATAGAGTCCACCTGTGTGTAATTTAATCTCAGTATAAATACAGCTGTTCTGTGAAGACCTCAGAGGTTTCTTAGAGAACATTAGTGAACAAACAGCATCATGAAGGCCAAGGAACACACCAGACAGGTCAGGGATAAAGTTGTGGAGACATTTAAAGCAGGGTTAGGTTATAAAAAAATATCCCAAACTTTGATCATCTCACGGAGCACTGTTCAATCCATTATCCAAAAATGGAAAGAGTATGGCACAGCAGCAAACCTAATAAGACATGGCTGTCCACCTAAACTGACAGGCCGGGCAATGAGAGCAATAATCAGAGAAGCAGCCGAGAGGCCCATGGTAACTCTGGAGGAGCTGCAGAGATACACAGCTCAGGTGGGAGAATCTGTCCACAGGACAACTATTAGTTGTGCACTCCACAAATTTGGCCTTTAAGGAAGAGTGGCAAGAAGAAAGCCATTGTTGAAAGAAAGCCATAAGAAATCCCGTTTGCAGTTTGTGAGAAGCCATGTGGAGGACACAGCAAACATCTGGAAGAGGGTGCTCTGGTCAGATGAGACCAAAATTGAACATTTTGGCCTAAAGCAAAATGCTATGTGTGACGGAAAACTAACACTGCACATCACCCTGAACACACCATCCCCACCGTGAAACATGGTGGTGGCAGCATCATGTTGTGGGGATGCTTTTCTTAAGCAGGGACAGGGAAGCTGGTCAGAGTTGATGGGAAGATGGATGGAGCCAAATACAGGGCAATCTTAGAAGAAAACCTGTTAGAGTCTGCAAAAGACTTGAAACTGGAGCAGAGGTTCACCTTCCAGCAGGTCAACAAGCCTAAACATACAGTCAGAGCTACAATGGAATGGTTTCCATGTGTTCGATTGGCCCAGTCAAAGTCAAGGCCTAAATCCAACTGAGAATCTGTGGCAAGACTTGGAAATTGCTGGTCACAGATGCTCTCTATTCAATCTGACAAAGCTTGAGCTATTTTGCAAAGAAGAATGGGCAAAAATGTCACTCTCTAGATGTGCAAAGTTGTTCGAGACATCCCCAAAAAGACTTGCAGCTGTAATTGCAGGGAAAGGTGGTTCTACAAAGTATTGATTCAGGGAACTGAATACAAATGCACACCACATTTTTCACAGATTTATTAAATGCAACCCGCACGGGAATCTTGGTTTTCAAGTGCGGGCGGCGTGCCATTAGAACTAATGGCACCCGTACACGGGTCCGCATTCCTCTGTGCGGGTAGTGCGGTTGCATGGATTTTCGTGTGGATCCGCACAACCTGCACATATGTGAACCTAGCATCAATAGTTCAATTGTACCAAGCTGGTCCAATCCAAATATTTGATTCACTAACAGATGCAGCTGCACTGTATGTGGCATCAGCTATGCCGCTGTTCCAGCAGTGGTGTGGATACTTCCCATCCATCCATTCCCAAAAGTGCTGTTCAGCCATTCACAGGAAGCATCATATTTCATCAGCCAGTCAAAGGAAGCCCTGTATTCATCAATGAAATAGAACACTTCGTATGAATGGTTGAGCAGTGCTTAGCTGGACTTAATATTGTTCTGGGAGTGGGACAAGAAGTCCCCATCCTACTACTGGAACACAGCGCTTTATATTGTATGTAGCTGATGCTACATACATTTTACCAGCATGCACAGTGGCCGCATCTCTTAGTGAAGCAAATAGCTTCACTAAGTCCCCATCCTACTACTGGAACACAGCGCTTTATATTGTATGTAGCTGATGCTACATACATTTTACCAGCATGCACAGTGGCCGCATCTCTTAGTGAAGCAAATAGCTTGTTTGGACCAGCTTGGCCCAAAAAAGCTATTAAAATCACAAGAAACCTGTAGTTAGGTTTTAAAGGGTAACGCCATTTTCATGGGAAAAAAATTGCATATAAAAAAAAAAAAATATAGCATGTACGATCATAACCAGGGATTGCACCAAAGCCCGATACCAGTATCAGTATTGGTGCCGATACTACGTATTATCATGAGTACTTGTACTCATGAAAATACTCCTGATACCTTAACCGATACCTTGCTGTGCAATTTGTGTTAATGGGTGCAAAATGCACAGCAAAGATTAGCATGCGATTTAAACAGGAATGCGATTCCTGTCCATGCGGTTTCCCCACTGCTCCTGTGTGAACCCAGTCTTGTAATAGCCTGAGCAGGGGCAGACTGACAACTCATGGGGCCCCCGGGCAATAGGGGATCATGGGGCCCCTGTGTCCTTGCCCACACTCAAAAAAGCCTATGAAAAAGCCAATTAAAGGTACCATCTCATGGGGCCCCCTACTGACCCAGGCCCTCAGGCAATGCCCGAGTGCTCGAATGGTCAGTCCACCCCTGAGCCTGAGTTCACACAGGATTGGTGCAGGGAGGTTTCCCGCAGCAGAGAGTGGACGAGTAGGGATGTATACTATGGAGGCAGCTGCTCTATTCTCTCAGTGGTAGGAGAGGAGAGAAAGCGGCGGGGATTTGAAATCGCTGCCGCTTTCTTTCCTCTCCTTGCAGGGATGACAGTTCAGGCTAGAGGATATCTGACTGGTCAGCAACATCATCACATGGACATTGCTGACCAATCAGATGCCACCTAGCCCGAACTGTCATTGCTGCAAGGAGAGCAGAGAAAGCCTCCTTACAGGTCTGGGGATCTGAAATCCTCACAGCTTTTTCTCCTCTCCTTGCAGCAATGACAGTACGGGCTAGATTGCATCTGATTGGTCAGCATAGTCTATGTGACAGTGCTGACCAATCAACAGCCCTCTAGCCTGAACTGTCATCTCTTGGGATTTATTTTAGCAAAGACATGTAGCAGAATACATTTTGGCCTTAATTTATGAAAAAATTAAATTTTTAAAATATTTTTACTTGCATGACCGCACAATTGTCAGTTAAAGTAACACAGCACCGTATCGCAAAAAATGGCCTGGTCAGGAAGGGGGGGTAAATCCTCTGGAAGGCAAGTGGTTAATAATGAAAAAGTAACTCCCAATCAGTATCAATCCTGCAAAAGACATGATCTAACAAAGAGCTATTCTTTCAGAGGAGAAACAGGTAGGACCCTGCAACAAAGTTTGTTAATATCCCAGCATTGTACATGGATCAGTGCATAGCTCTGCTGCCTGCACCATGCCATTCTCAGCTCACAACAAAGTCTGACACGGTTATTACAAGTGTGTCTTCAACAAGCAGGTTGGCTGTGACTTCTGCACCTGGGAAAATGTGTCATACGCATATCTGCACACAAACACTGATGTACAGTAACACACCGACACTTGCACATGCACAGGGGCATATAGCCATTCATTTTTATGGCTGGGTGTACAGCCCACCTGCGGCAACTCAGGCTGCAGAAAACACTGTGCATTTTATGCTAGGCTTATTTTATAATTGCAACAGTATATGTGCATGAGGCCTTAGAAACACCTGCTGTGTGTCTGAGTGCCTGTGTTGTGAATTTTGAAGATTAATTTCTCTGCAATGCTTATAAATACAGAGATGAATGAGGCTTGGTTTTAAATAGCTTTTTCTGCTTGTTCAGAATATGTAAATACTTCAATGTGCATGTTCTGGAAACAGGTTCACTTTAGGTTAAACAACCTGCTTGTGCACATTCTGAAATGTTCTATATATGTGCAGTTCTGAGTGTAAGGTGTCTGTGGTATGGTGCACATGCGTTGAAAATATGGTAGCTGCTATGTCTTACTAGGATTTGAGGTGTA